GTCACAGTCAAGTGGTCTGTCCATGTCTCTGCTCTGCCATGGCTTCCTGCTCTGCCGTCATCACCCGGCCGCCCTGCTCTGCCTGTTCCGCCATTGCCCCCAGCTCTGCCTGTTCCGCCATGGCCCCCCGCTCTGCCTGTTCCGCCATGGCCCCCTGCTCTGCCTGCTCCGCCATGGCTCCCCAGTCTGCCTGTTCTGCTTCATGGGCCTGGCCCTCCGTCCCTCCCACAGTTCCGCCTCCACTCCACCACCATCCTGGACTTGTTGGGTTTTGTTTGTTTGTTTGGGCATCTGGAGCCGCCCTTAAAGGGGGGGATATGTAATGTGGGGTTTGGGTTTTGTTTCATGTTCATGTTTTCCATGTCTTTTATTTTGTAATTGTTTCATGCTGTCAGTGTCATGCTTCCCTTGCCCTCATGTATCTCTGCCTTGTGTATGTGTCATGTTCTGATTGGTTGTCTTAGTCATGTGTCTTGTTTCCCATTGGTTTGTTCATGTCATGTGACCCTCCTTGTTTGTTATAAGTAGCCATCATGTTGCCATTGTCTCTCGTCGTGTATTGATGTTGTAACCCGCTGTCGGTGAGTCTAGTCTGTATATGCCTCGTCAAGTCTGTTCATGTCAAGTCTCGGATTATTGTTTGGATGTTTGGATCACTCTGTAAATAAACTGCACTTGGGTTCTTCACTGCACTCGCCTTCAGTGGACTAATTCGTTACAGTTCATTGTTAACTGATTAAATGCAATTGTTTTCACAAGTAACAGATTTATTCTGATTCTAAACAATTTATATATATTGAAAATATATAGATAATGGATTTTTAAAATGATAATAAATAAATGCAGGATTATCTGAAAGACTTAAATTTGAATATAGCACAGACATAACATTTACATATCAAAACATTGCATTTACATATTAAACACTACTTAGTTAATTTTTTAATTGAAAAATAAATAATTTAAACAGCAAAATTTAGAAAATTACAAGCATTTTGTCTTACCTTCTGATGCCGCAACAGAAATAAGCATGAGAATAACTACTGAGAAGATCATTTTGGTGATGCTATGATATAGAAATAAAACACACAGGTCTAAAGCACAGCTGAGCTCCAGCACAAACATACAGCATATCCTGAACAGCAGGATGTGGACATGTAACAGAAGGAGTGGTTTCTGTCAGCCGGCAGGATGAATAATTGCTCAATTCTTTCAGAAGTGTTTGCACTGGTATAATATAAACCTGCCATTACGTCATAAAAATCTAGCGACCGCTTCATATTGCAAATATCAAATATAATATTACATCTGCTAACATTCCTGCTTATTTACACAAGATACACAATGTTTACATTTACAGAATTTTCCTGGATAGGCCTGTAGTGACTGTACTTGTATTTTTATAGTAGTCAAGTCGTGTTAATTTTATTTGTATAGCACAAGCACATTGTTTTAAAGCAGCTTTACAGAAATTATAATGTTAATGTTTATAATACCTAATTCCTAACTGTCTACATTTAGCTGTTTAGAGCTAGCGATATCAATATAAACAATCAAGCAGTTGAGATTTGCTATATACTATAACATATATTTTCGTTTGAAATGTATTGTATCTAGTTCTACCGTTTGTTACAGTTAAATGATTGAACTGTGACCAAGCCAATTAATCTCACATAGCAGTATTATATGTCTCTGCATTACAGTAATCTCTTGTAAACTTACAAATTATTATAATAGAACTTTAATGTCCAAATGGCTATGCTAGCTACATTAAAACACCAAATAGGCAGTCCTTTGTTAGGGAAGGGGAGAAAAAGCGGGGCTAAGTGCCTGTCCCCTGACGCAGGTCAGCTGAATATAGCCAGGGACTGGGAAATGTGAGTCGACTTAATCCACAGACTCATTTTCCCATTTGAAATTGCAATCATCAATCTGCGCCCAGACCTGGTTCTCTGGTCCAACTCCAGTAGGATCGTCATAATAGTCGAACTGACAGTCCCTTGGGAAGAGGTCATTAACGAGGCCTTTGAAAGGAAGAAGCTGCGATATGCCAACCTGGCAGCTGAGGCAGAGGAGCGGGGCTGGACAGTGAAAGTATACCCGGTGGAAGTGGGCTGCAGGGGCTTTGTGGCTAGCTCCACTATAAGGCTGCTGAAGGAGTTGGGCATCAGAGGACAGGTCCAGCGGAGGATAGTCAGGGAACTGGCCACTGTCGCTGAAAGAAGCAGCCACTGGCTGTGGCTGAAGCGGATGGACACAGTGTGGGCTGCCAAATGACCATGTAACAAAGTGACACACACCCGGGTCTGATCAGCCTGTGGTGGGCCTGCCTCGGCTGAGGGTGTCTTGTGATAAAGGCCCGAAACACCCAATGAGGCTGGGGTACACAACTAGAGTTGCCAACCATCCCGTATTTTGGGCCTAATTGATTTGTCCCGTACGTGACTTCCCTTGTCCCGTTTTTTGACTGCTATGCTGATCTAACCACTGACTGATACAACAGCAGCGGTGCTGATCACTTGAGAATGATCACCTATACCTGTCATCATCCAATCACAGCCCCCCTCACGCAGTATACATAAAGTAAATCAGAAATCGTGAACATAACTGTTCGAGGAAGGCTGTGCAATCCTCTGCCGGCTCGTCACTCCCGCCTCACAGCAAGCGGCGCTCGCGCTAACGCCAATTCCGTCCGTGTTTTCACTTCAGTAAATCAGTTTTGGTGAATACAAACTACATGATTATTTTTCAGGAGTCCAACATCCCGCCGCGCAAGAGACGTGATTAGTAAGGGAAGTCGTCGTCTTTCACTATTGTAATGTTGTTAAATAGAGAAAAACATTTTATATTTAAGTAACTAATTAAACTTCTTAACCTTGGACCTTCTTCTTGAAACACAAAATGACCAATAAAATGCACCACCAAAAGCAGCCCATATTAAATCTATAAGCTGTCTTTAATTGAAAAATATGCATTTTCATGCATACTATATATATGTGTGTGTGTATACACGGTCACTCACAACCCCCCACCCCCTCCCGTACGGTGATTGTCCCGTATTTTCATTTTCTGAAGCTGGCAACCCTATACACAACTGATGATGTGTTGCATTGGTGGAAACACCATACAAAGGCCATTGGCAACATCACCTCAACAAAAGACATCTTTAACCCAGGCTAAAGTTCGCAAAGAAACTGGGATCTGATGGACATCAAATAAGGTGTCTCACTGGCAACATCCATGAAAGATAAGTGCACATCATGTACAGCATTACATATCATCAAAACGTCAAGGATCCCCACCCGATGACTGCAGCGAAGAATTGTACCGTCTTTATCTATCCATCTTACCATCCTAGTCCTTTTTCTTAGCAATTGTAAATTCACGACTGATTATTGGGTATTGAGGCAAGAACCACGGACATGGATTAGGCCATGATCCTGGATTCTTGCTGAACCAAAATCAGAGCGGGGTACACAACTGATGATGTGTTGCATTGGTGGAAACACCATACAAAGGCCATTGGCAACATCACCTCAACAAAAGACATCTTTAACCCAGGCTAAAGTTCGCAAAGAAACTGGGATCTGATGGACATCAAATAAGGTGTCTCACTGGCAACATCCATGAAAGATAAGTGCACATCATGTACAGCATTACATATCATCAAAACGTCAAGGATCCCCACCTGATGACTGCAGCGAAGAATTGTACTGTCTTTATCTATCCATCTTACCATCCTAGTCCTTTTTCTTAGCAATTGTAAATTCACGACTGATTATTGGGTACTGAGGCAAGAACCACGGACATGGATTAGGCCATGATCCTGGATTCTTGCTGAACCAAAATCAGAGCGTAACAATTGCTGCGTCTCGCTGTCTTCTGCTCACAGCGAAGTAGAAAATGTTTTATGGTGCGGCTAAATGGTGCTGAATATTGGGATCATAACACCTAGTCCTATCATGCAAACTAAATAAAACATGCAAGCAACATGTTAAATGTGCTAGCAGCATTCTAACAACATGCTAAAACAGGGCAACAACATGCTAAAACAATGCAAGAATTGTGTTAAATTCCTGTTTTGAGTTCTCTGTCCGGTTTTGAATGTCGTCTTTCTTGCTACGTGTGTGTTCCTGGTTTCCTTGTTCCATTGGATGGTAATTAAAGTATCTTTGTTTGAAGTATTCTCCACGTCTCATCGTTCCTCGCTCCGCACTCCCTCACAGTAGCGAAGCGTGACAATAGCAGTGTGCTAACAAACTAAAACATGCTAGCAGCATACTAAAACACATCAGGAACATGTTTTGAATGTGCTAAAACATGCTAGAAACATGTAGAAATATTTATTTTAGTGACATCTAGCTAACGTTGCTAAATCTTGCTAACAACACAAGTAATAATGCCTAAAACATTAAGAAATAGTAACTATTGGAAACATGCTTGCTATGCATAGATATGTGGTGTGATTTTTAGTGATATGTGGTTTAATTGGGCCGTGGAGTGGGGTATGAGTGGTTATGAACGAATGAATGAAACGCATTTGTCCGTGTTTCACTCCGTCTCGAATCCCGCTTGCGGAAAGCGCTTGACAAACAGTGTCTCTTCCGCGGCTCGGTACGCTTTCATCTCGTTTTTTTAATCTCGAGCAAGACTGTACAACATTCACATTACTTGATTTGACTGATTTTTACGTAGAAAGAGTGACAGCGCACCACATTAAAATAAATGATCATTCATGTTTTCATAACCGCTGGCCAAATTCAAAAACGAAACTAAAATTAAATCATCTTTGAGAGCAAGGGGCCCCCCTGGTGTTTCGGGGCCCTACGCAGCTTGCGTATTTTGCGTATAGGGAGGATCGGCTCTACTTGTTGGCCTAATGAGGTCAAACATAGGGTCTGAAGTGGTTTAATATGCACTGTACAAAATTCAAGCTGCTTCAACTAATTATTTAGTAACTAGTTCCACAGGTTTTTTTTACATTCACTCAATTTCTCTCTTCAAAGTGTTACTTGAAAATTGACAATTAAAATTTAACCATTTACTCCATGTGTTTCATATGTTACCTAAACTAAGATTTATTATTTGGGCATCATTAGAAATTGTTGTATACTTATTAACTGGTGTCTATATCAATCACTAAAAAACACATATTACAACACATAATAGCCTTTATTTAACAACAATGTGCAATTATAACATTTGTCATACACACTAAACATACAGTACAGGCTTAAAGTGATAGTTCACCCAAAAAATAAAATTTGCTGTTAATTTATTGACCATCAGGCTGAGATGTAGGTGACTTTTTTCTTCAGTAGAACAGTAAAGAAGATTTTTAGGTGGTACCGTTGTCTTTGGCAATTCATAAACTGCACATCAATGTCCTCAGGAGCCACTGGTAATTTGTTCTAGTCTGTATGTTTTTTTGTTTTTTTGACTCAAAAACCGGCAGCCACAGATGTGCATGAATCGCCAAGGATCACAATTTCAGATAAAAACCTTCTTTACTGTTCTACCTGTCACCTACATCTCAGATGGCCTGAGGGTCAGTACATTAACAGCAAATTTAATTTTTTTAGGTGAACTATCCCTTTAAAGTGCTCCAGTTGACAAACATTACATTTGTAATACAACTGCAAAATTAATTTAAAACATTTGTTTAATGAATTAAAAAATACTAAACAACATAAAACAAAATGTTCGCAAACAAACATTTACAAATATTACTATTGTTCACAATTACATCTTTAAAATTAGGCAGAAGTAAAAAAAAAAAAAGAACCAGGTGTCACACACACATACACACACACACACACACACTTGTCTGGTCAGCTATCCTTGTGGGGACTCTCCATAGGCGTAATGGTTTTTCTACTGTACAGACCATATATTCTATTGTCCTACACCAACCCTACCCCTAAACCTACCCCTCACAGGAAACTTTCTGCATTTTTAGATTTTCAAAAAACTTCATTCTGTATGATTTATAAGCTTTTGTACCCGTGGGGACCACAATTTAGGTCCCCACCGTGACACGAGTCCCCATGAGTCTGTGTGTATTCATGTTTAAGTCCCCACCAGGATATATAAACCTGTACACACACACACACACACACACACACACACACATTATATATATCTATTTATCACTGTTTTCATAAAAACTCAAAATATTTATTAATATTACCTGTAATGAAAACAATATATTTATTAATATTACCTGTAATGAAAACAATAAAGTCTTAATCTTGAAAGTACACACATATTGTATAGTTGTAGTGGAGAGGTCTGGTCCCTTGCCCAGTGTTTGAGATTGTTAGTGTCTTCGAAGAACTGACTGGCTAGCATCTGAAAACTTGCAATGATGACAAAGCATCAGTGAAACCTTTAGACACATCCTGATGGTGAAAGTAAAGTACTCTATCTATCTATCTATCTATCTATATGATTCCTTTTAAATAATTTACAATATAACAATATTAGTTCATTAAATTTGTGATTAAAGTGATTAAAGTTTTCACCTTAAACGGCATAAAGATAATATAAAAAATATAACGGTCCTGGCTGTTGTTGATAAATACCAGTGGTGGACATAGGCGTAATATACAGGTGGGACGGGTGGAACATGTCCCCTCCACTATATTGTCCCCATCACTTTTTTGAAACACAGACATGTGTCTGACATGTTTAACAGACGTACCAGATGAAACATTATGAAATATGTTATAGTACAAAAATAATTGATAATGAAGGGAGGTTTTGCAAAGCTATTATGATGAGTTGAGTGGTTGTACCTTTGATGAATCATATGATATATATAAATGACATTCTGATGTTTCTGTTAAATAAGTTGTTATTTTTTTATATAACATAAAATATTTAAAGTTTTAATAAGATTTAAGATTACTTTCACTAATTTTATTAAAATTTTATTTTCTCTCTGTAACACAGTACAACCAAACATGCTATATAGTAGCACACTTATCCTGACTGGGAAAACCTAAACACACTAAAGACAAACTCAAAGACAAAGGAAAATGACTCACGAAACAGCTATTTACGCATTATGGGATATCTGATCTAGTAACTGAAATTAAATACAACACTGACTGAATTCATTTAATAGTTTAATAGTTCACTTTAACCCATATATAAAACTATGTACATAGACTAATTCAAAATAAAAAGTAAAAATACGTAAATATATATGTGGCATTCAAGTACAATATTTTGAGACGCTGGAGCTTATTTTCACAGTCACCACAAGGTGGCGATCTTTACTCTAAAATAAACAAGCTTGTGTTCTAGACTGAACTCGCATTTCACCCTGATTAACTTGATTCATGAGCACTTGAGCAAAGTGTTAGCGCTGATGCTGCAGTAACGGTGCAATAAACAATTGTTGCTTTGAGCTGTTTTTATATTTGGATAATGTTTACCTGAATAGCCTATAACTTCCTGTACCTGTAGGCCTATACAGGTGCATCTCAATAAATTAGAATGTCGTGGAAAAGTTAATTTATTTCAGTAATTCAACTCAAATTGTGAAACTCGTGTATTAAATAAATTCAATGCACACAGACTGAAGTAGTTTAAGTCTTTGGTTCTTTTAATTGTGATGATTTTGGCTCACATTTAACAAAAACCCACCAACTCACTATCTCAACAAATTAGAATACTCCATAAGACCAATAAAAAAAAACATTTTTAATGAATTGTTGGCCTTCTGGAAAGTATGCTCATTTACTGTACATGTACTCAATAACTTGGTAGGGTCTCCTTCTGCTTTAATTACTGCCTCAATTCGGCGTAGGAGTGTAAATGTGTCACACACAAAAAACGAAGAAACAACAAAAGTTTTGACCTGAACAAACCAATACATTATAATTCAACATTACAAAGAAATTGCTTCTTTAATGAATGGGAAAAATATTTGAAAGAATGTGCTCTTTTCTCTGCCAGCACTCGCTTCTTTTAAGAAATTTGGCATCAATTTCAAGTTTTATTAACTTGTGGTGAATCTTTAGCAAAATAATTGACATGATTTTATACACTGACAACTGGGGCACGTTCAAGCTCAAACCGGTGCGCAACTTTTTGCTATGGTTTCCTGGTTGAACGAGATGTTTCCTGAAAACGGTGTGCAACAGGGTTTGAGATACGTTTTCTCTTGTTTGGTGGGTGTGTCAAAAATGTCAGCCCAATCAGCAGCAGCATGCATATAAACCACGTGGCATTAAAGAGACAGCTCGCACAATGGGTCCAAGTAAAGTCATGTTAGAAGTTTCTACATCCCTATGATGCTGTAAATAAGCTGACACAATTATGGCTGTTGAATACACACTGATGCACATACTGCTTTATACAGTGGGGATTTGTAAGTAAATATAATTAACATAAAAATAAATTCATAAGAGCAAGTATATTGTTTCCACATGTTTATTTATATGTAAATGTTGAAGCCTCTGATTGGTTGAATTCAAACTGCTGCTTTCTGCCTCCTGCAGTGGAAATAGAGATGAAGTAGACTCAAGCTGCTGTTTAGTAAACCTTTTGCTTACATGTCCATTTGCCATGTTTCTTTAAAACATCTTAAAGAAGAATATTCTGAACAATATTTACTCTAACATAACATTTATCAATAACGGTGATTCATATTAAATAATTAATTAAATAAATAAACAAATAAATATGTGTTTTGATCAGTTTACACACTCAGCGTAAGGATGTGGTGTTTGTGTCTGAAGCTGTCAGTGTTTGATTGTTTTTTTTAAATGAGCCCCAGTCCATCCACCTCTTTTAATGCCTTTTGCACAATATTTCAAATGTGTCAGACATTGATTAAAAGCCTGTTATTCTGTCTGCATCATGGGGGAGGCCTTGCAACACCTTCACTACAAAAATGATTTTATTAGTAGTTTTGTGGTGTTATTTTTTTATATTTTGTAAAAAAATATATAACAAAATTAAGTGAGTTTATGCTCACAACAAGAAAAATCTGCCAGTGGGTAAGAAAAATAAAAATATTTTCGCTTTGAATTATGTCGAGTTTTAACAGATTTTCTGTTGTGTTAAGCATAAACTTGCTTCATTGTGAACAATTTTCAGAAAATAATACCTAATATCTTAAGTCACTTTGCATCTCAATTAAATGTAATTTGGTTTATGAAGGTTTAGATATTTGTAATGGAAAACAAGACAATAATACTGGGTATTCCACCGGGTAAAACTCTTGACCTGAGAAAAGTCTCATATAAAACTTGAATTTTAACCTTTCTCACACAAAGCTATCAATGGCTTCAGAATACTTGCACGTGCACAAGTATGGATTATTTTAATGGTGCTTGAAATTGTCAATGTCAGCCCCGTGCCCAAATTTTGTATATGACGACGTGACAACGCAGCATGCGTCCTGTAGAAAACCCCTGTTTATGTGCATGTTTGATAGCCTTGTGCACGGTCTGCGTGTCAGCGTAACACAGCAGATCTCTGAGCCTGTAAATGGATTAAATCTCTGGTTCACTCTGGGCCTGAATGAGCAGCTTCAGGCTCAGCACTCAACACATGCGCTGCACCAGTCTGGTTTATGCTGGTTAGTGCAATTCTAGCTGGTGAACGTACACAGTCCCAAAACCCTTTGCTATCACAGTCCATTTTGAGCCCACAAAAAAACAAAAACAAATTGATTTTTTTCCCTCCATAATCAGAAACAGATGTTTTGCCTGCAGACTGGGGTATTTACACCATCTCACAGCAGGGATGCTAACCGGGTAATGCATGTTATGTACCAAAATTAAATGTATTTAGCCTATTTGAGATTTATGATTGAACTGGTTTTATGCAACTACAAGTCCTTTGAGGTCATTTTCATTGCAGTTGATAAATGAGACACAAGATGGCGCCAGTTGTGACAGTTTAAAATAAGTCCATGAAGTGACAGAAAGAGTAGAGTCAGTTTCAGTTACCCTGCAGTACTGCCATGGGTGACAGCGGATTCAAAAATATCCAGCCACTGAATGCCACAATTGATCGATCAAAGAATTCCAGAGAGCTGTGCAATATTTTTTTAATTCGATTTTTTTCTTTTTACTTAAAAAACGTAGGCCTACAAGAAAAAAATCATCCCATACACACATACAGATAGGCCTACACAAAGTTGAGGATAAGCAAACACAGTAAGTAAAGGAACATTTATATGACAATGATGTACTAACAATTGAAAAGTTTTTCTTTCACATTTTTAAAAGGTTTCACATACAGAAGACAACATTGTCAAAAAGATCCCTGTTCACGGATCCGCGAAAACAACTGAACACACTGTACTATGCATGCCAGGCCAGTAATTGGGGATGTCACTTTGTAAAGAAACACTACAGGCCTGCGCATGTACATACAGTCTGAACACGGAGTATGCACACGTATGACGTCAGCGTTTTCACAAATTCATGTTTTGTAGCTTAGTTCCATTTTCATTGCACCCCCCAAATCCCCCCAAAAAACACTAGTATGATATAACGAACTCAGGCTCATTGGAAATACGTGTGAAATGTCTAGTGGTTGGAGCTAACTGTTCAGTTTTATCTGAAACAGATGAACATGAATCTGGCAATGTTTTATTAAGTCAGTTGTTGTATGTATCGCCACAATTCAGATATTCGGTGAGTGGTAGCCTACTAAAAGTTCAATACTTCAACACGTTCGAAAATAGAGGACCACCTACAACCCTGCCATCTCAATATCTCAACCATGCCATTTTATCATAATGTGTTTCCCTGGCTCCACATCATAAGTGCAATGCTGTACCAAGTGAGCATATTTACTACTTTGGAAAAGCCATACATATGGAGCTGGTTATATGTAAATGTAATAATGTAATGTCTATAAATCATGCGTCCAACGAATCATGCGAAAATGTTTTTATTCGATAATCTGTCCCTGTTCTGTATCCGAATAAGCAGAATAAATAATATGGACCAGACACTCAAGTTCACGCCATTGGCACTGAACTGCCTTTAGAGTTCATTTTGCAGTTTACGCACTCTCAGAAAAAAGAAAAAAAAAAGTACAAAAGCTGGGGAAGCACTATTGCAAAAGGTACTAATTTGCACCAATTTGGTACTAGTATATAGGCTACACTTTAGGTACTAATATGCAGTGGCGGCTCGTCGGGGGAGGCACAGCTTCCCCAAAATTTTGAGGTGAAAATGGGAGGAGGACGATTTAATGTTAATAAAATTCACAATTCATTTCAGTTCATGTCTTGTTTGTAATTTCACAGCTGTTATACCATGTTAATGAAGCTGCTTTTCTATCGCGAATGTGCCGAATCTGCTGATGTAATTACAACCGCTAATGATAGAGAAGGGGTGGGGAGGCCGGGGGAGAGGTAAAAAAAAATTAGCCAATCACCATCGAGTGTTCACTTTCAGCGCTGTTTCAGAGTGTTGAAAAAAATCAACCAATCATCATAGAGACGTAAATTACATGATATTAATTTGAACGTCTCCCGCTGCGCTGATAATGTACCAAGTAGCCTACTTACGGGTAGCGATATTTAATATTTGATCGCCAACAGATTTACCAAACTGTCATTCAAACAGTATATATACCAAAAAAAAACAAAAAAAACACACCTAACTGGATATAGGCTACAGCAGTCGGCTTAATTAAATGGCACAACAGGCAGGTCTCTTTTAACACAGACTTTTAAGAAGCGATGGATGTTTGCTTCAAGTGATAGGCCAGGTAGGATAAGTGAAATTATATTATCTTGCTGTATGCGTGTCGTTTTCTTTACGTTTTCTGACTAAAAGCAACCAAAAAGCCATTTTAAAGTGGTTAAGCAAATAATAATAATCGGCAGGGATCCCTGTGCCTCCTCTATTTTAAAAACCACGAGCCACTACTGCTAATATGTACTTTTAAGCTACTAACATGCACCCTTTAGGGGTAACGAAGGTACAAAAGTGTACATTTTGAAAGGAGACCACCCCAGTGATAGCTTTTGTACCCTTTTTTCTGAAAGTGCAGAGCCTATTGGTGGTCACAGAGAAATTTTCCTGGACACCAATTTCAGTGTATATTCAATGCATTTCATGAATCTAATCAGATGTGATTATATAGGATATATCTGCACTGCTGACCCTGTGAGGGCTGACCCTCATCCAATTTCTTCTCCATGCAGCTTTGGATGATCACAAAGCCACCCACTCCATTAGTCTCTGCACAGCTTCTTTGACTGAACCCACTTTGTGAACCAGATTTGTGGTTTCAGAACATGCTCCCTCTCTCTGTACAGAACTTTATGTAATCGGTCTCTATGACTCAATTAGGAGCACATGGTACAGAATTTTATCATGGTATAGAAGTTTAAGATGAAATGCATGTGGCCTTTCTTGAGGAGTGTTTTTTGTTTCTTGCAACCCTCCCATACAAGCCACATTTGTGGAGAATTTGTGATATTAAATTAAAATTCCTGCAACTGCTTCGGAGTTGCTGTCGGCCTCTTGGTCGCCTCTCTGACCAGTTTCCTCCTGGCTCTTTCATCCAGTTTGGAGCGACGTCCTGATCCAGGGAGAGTCTGTGTGGTACCAAATACCTTCCACTTCTCAATAATAGACTTCACTGTGCTTCTAGCCATTGATAAAGCCTTTGAAATTTGTTTGTATCCATCTCGTGACTTGTGCCTGTCCACAACTTTATCCTGGAGATCTTTTAACAGTGCCGTGCCACACATAGTTGATTGTTTGACTCAGTTGCACTACCAAGGACTGAAATGCTCCAGGAAAGCTCTTTTCATGCTAAGCTAATCAAAATGAGCACAGCTGATCACAGTTGAAAGTCAAATGGCTTTGTGTGCCATTGAGAAGGTGATTAACTACACCTGATTGAGTTTACAAGTCATTTTAGGAGGGGGGTGATCCTTTTTCCAAATCAGTGATTCTGTTTATTTTATTTTTTTTCCTCACATGTTGGTGTTATATCTTTCACTTGGATGTTAGAAGCTGCACCGAGTAAATACAGCTGAATAAAACAAAAACTGTGATTCTTTTCTATACCCACTGTATTTCCGTGTCTTCTCTCTTCCAATCATTTCTCTCCCTCAATTCTTTCTGCAAAAACAAAGTATCGCATTTTATACTTATTTTCATGACAATTTATAACAGTACAAATTTTCTGCAAAAGCATCATAAAATATTTTAATTAATGTATTTATTGCATTTAAGAACACTGAACATGATAAAAAAAAAGAATAAAAAGTAGTTTAACACATCTTATTTAATTACTTAAAATGCTTCTTAAAGAGACCTTGTCCTCTTGTGTGACATCAAAGGATGTTTCAGCCTTGTGTCAGTTTATGACCGTGCTATTCCTAGCTAACCTGTCATTAGCACACATAATTTTCGCACACATAATAATAATTTTTTTGTAGTTTAACATACAGTTTTTAATAAAAAATATATATAATTTAGGGGTGTCGCACCAAAGGACAACAAAACGTAACAATTTTATAGTGGTTCCAAAAAAGTTAAATATTTGAACAATTCTGAGACAAAACCTACTATATTAACATAACATGGGCTTCACAGGGGGCTTCAGTAACATGACCTTGAATGGGGTCCTTCAACTAAAGTTGTCCATGGAATCGCCTAATTTAAAATCAGGATATGGTGTCACAATGGAGGACATGGTTTTCTGTGAGAATGTACCAAGTTTCTACGCTTTTAGAATTATATGGATTACATTTTTTTTTATTGCCATTTACTAAAATAGACACTTGTAAAATTATGCCAGAGGAATTTATTACAATTTATATGCTTTTCTTTTTCATTTATGAAAGTTTCAATTTATTGAACCATGCTTGAGAGAGTGAAAATGCCATGTCATGTCAACAACCCAAATTCATTGTTCTATCCCAGTTTTATCACTGCTAGTTCTTTGTTCTTTCCAACGTTTAGTTACACAAAGCACTTAATGGACTGTGTGCTCATGAACACTTTGCATGTCAGTACTGATTATAAGAAAACATCTGGAAAGAAGTTGTTTGCACTCATTGGATGGAGAACATGCTGTCCAGATGTAAGACACTAACAAACCAAAGCCTGTGGGCAGCAGCTTGTCCGTTTAGTCCTTTCTGAACCAGGCCTTCATGACGCAAAGACCACATCATGTGAGCAAGGTTAGGCTGAGTGGCTACGTAAGAAGAGTGAAACACTTAATAAAAACATTTAATGATGCTATGTGCAACGTTACAGGAAAGAGACTTGAAGTGATTATGTGGACTTACTGAATTTTAGTCAAACAATATTTTGCCTACTTGTTTAAAAAAATGCTTTTGAAAATGGTGGGTGTGGAAGTTTCAGCTTATTATTTAGTTGCACAGACAGAACTGAATGCATAACAGATGTCTTATTAATGCTGTTGCTCTTCCACAGTAGCGGCTCATTATCAAAAATATGCAGCCTCTTTCTCGGAGTTGTGCAATCTAGTGTTTTCGGTTGTAAATGTCTGTTACATTGGCTGTGTATATGTGGCCTGTTTGTTCCAGATGTCTCCGGCTGAGACTCGAATACAGCTGTAATCCCATGGCCTACTTCTCATGGGGTTGGAGGCCCATGATCACGTGACTGTAAAGACACACTGTGCCTCCGCTGTCTGAGCGCTTTATCCCTGCGTCTGGTGTGAAATACTCATTTAGACCATAAACACTCTCTTGAACACATTTATTTTCACACCATTTAATCAGTTCTGCAGAGGGTAAGGTATCACTGGAACATGTCAGCAGCATTGACCGCTAGTCATTTGTGATGTGTTTTTACTTTTCCCTGGAGATATCTATCGACGTCTCCGGAGCGGTAGACAAAAGTAGTTCCC